CAGGCAGGGCACGGGAAAGGACCCACCCGCAGGCGCAGTCTGCTTCGAGCCCTGCGCCGCAAGTGCCAGTCGCGAACATCAGTGCGGAACATCGCAGTGCAGGGCAATAATTACGGGCATAAACGACACTGCGTTGGATGCACCCGCCGCCCGCAGCCGAGAAGCCGCGCGGACGGCAGGTGCCACGAGCCAAGGCTTCGGCGGAGCACGGTAATTTCGCGCTCACCATCCGCGAAGCTGTGGAACAACTCGAAGCCGAACTGCGCCGAGGACGTCGTAACTTCTACCTCCTCGACTTCAGGAGGCGGCTCCAAAACAGGGAGGCCCATACAGAACAGTGGGAGGCGTAGCCAAATCACCACCGCCATTGACACCGTTCGCAACTATACACGTGATCGACTTGTGAGGTGGCGTCTTAACCGAAGGAGGATCCTCCTCAACACAATCAACAGCAGCGCAACATACTGGACTGAGAATCGGCATGACAGTGGAACTCGCCTCACCACACTTCAAGGTTCCATCGTGGCGAGCCTCAACAGCTGGAGGCTCAGCCAAGCAACTACTCTCAAATTCAAGGCGATCCTCAAAAGGAGACTCAATCATACTAAACTGATGAGTATGAATCTCCACCAAACTCTGAGATGCACCAAAGTCCTCACCTCCGACGTTGTCATGCTCACGAACCCCCCTGATAGGCAAAGAAGAGGGCGCCTCAACCCAAGGAGGCGGCCCCCAAGCTGGTACCCCCACAGGTGAGTCGGAGCAGCACCAAGTGGCGACGGTAGTGTCAACCTCGGGAGACTGAGAAGACTCATCATGGCGAGCCTCACCAAATGGAGGCTCAGCCCCAAAGCGAAGATGTGGACACGCTTAGCGAGCACCCAAATGGGGCTCAGCCAAAAACCGCGTGCTCCTCCAAAACTGCCTTAGGATGACCATCGGAGGCCGCCAGGCGGCTAGAAGAAGTGGCTAGAGAAAGGTCCTGCACATGCTTCTTGGGTCGACGCCTACGTCGCGGGCGATCACCAATGAAGAACTCCTGGGCCTGGATCTTCACTTCCACTTCCTCGGCGGGGTGCGAACTATCCTGACTGGTGGCGGCAGGGGCGGCAGCATCGCAATGATTCCACCTGCCTCCACCGCACGAGAGCGGTCCGCTGCCCTCAGCCTTGCCCGTGGGACTGGCGGCGGTGGCGGCTGCAGTCCTTCCGCAGCATCGCCCTGCGCTGTCACCGCTGCAGGCGGAGGTAAGGGCCATTCCTTCAGACCCTGCCTCGCCTCCTGAGATCGGGCGTCCTTGGCGTTCTTCCGCCGCTTGCGCTCCCTGGGGGGCTTTGCCGCCTTGTCCTTGGGCGCCCTCGGCGCAGCAGGCGGCGCCGGTACCACAACCCCCCTCGGAGCTGAAGGCGGCAGCGACAGCTTCTTGCTGTGCTGCTGAGGATGTCGTGCTGCAGGTGGCTAAGAGCTCTGGGTAGACGCAGGAGAGGGCGTTATGCCCAACGGTTGCGCCGCCGAGGCCGCTGCCTCCAGGCGGTCCCATCTCCGCAGGCGCTTTCCCGGCCTCATCGTCTCGTTCGTCTCCTGCGGCTGCGGCGCACGGTAGTAGCGGCCCTTGCTGATCTCCCTGTCCACTGCATCGGAAGGGCTCCAAATGCCAGGCCGGGGCGCCATGGGCAAGGGACGGGGCAACTCCCCCTCCTCCTCCTCCTCCTCCTCCTCCTCCTCTTCTTCCTCCTCGGTCGAAGATGGCGAGCTCGATCCCGTCGACGGGGATCCCGATGGCATGCGCGAAGTCATGGATACGAGCACCGAGCGACGTGCCCAGTAAGTCCACAGGCACGTAGAAGCGCATGCACGAGTAAAGAAAACCGCAGCCTTTACCTCCTTGCGTGGCGCCATGGCGGCACGGCACCTCAAGGCGCAGCAGACGTTAAGCGGGAGGCGGACGCAGGAAAAACGGCGTGAGCCCGAGCCTTGAGCCAAAATGGCTACGGAGAGGACGAAGATGAGGAGGAGGAGGAGGAGGACGAGGAGGAGGAGGAGGAGGAGAAGGAGGAGGAGGATGAGGAGTCAGAGGAGGAGAAGGAAACGGCTGAGGAGGAGGAGGATGCTGAGGAGGAGGAGGATGAGGAGGAGGACGAGGAGGAGGATGAGGATGAGGAGGAGCAGGAGTGGCAACACGTGAACCTGACTTTGATCTTCGACAAGTTAGATCCACCTTCTCTCTCCTGCTCCTCCGTCCACGTCGAGCAAACATCCGAGATAGATGCAAGGATGCCTCTGCGGAGACTGTGTTCCATGCCAAACCTTCGCTTGGGGCCTGCCCCTGGAAGAGGAAGAGGATTATGATGATGTTGCTGCTGCTGCTGCTGAGGAGGAGAAGGAGGAGGAAGAGGAGGAGGAGGAGGAGGAGGAGGAGGAGGAGGAGGAGAAGGGGAGGACCATGGCTCCAGTCTTCACCGACATGCCAGCCACCAGATCGCTGATAGCAGGAGGAGAGGAGTCGGAGGAGGAGGCGGAGAGGCGGAGTGAGTGAATGAGGAGGAGGAGGAGGAGGAGGGGGGGAGGAGGCGAAGGAGGAGGAGGCGGATGAGGAGGAGGAGGGTGGACGAGGAGGAGGAGGCGGAGGAGGAGGCGGAGGAGGAGGAGGAGGAGGAGGATTAGGAGGAGGAGGAGGAGGAGGAAGAAGAGGAGGTGTTGGAAATACGTGAATGCGGGAAGGCTTCCACACAGGTGTCGCCCTGCGGGGAGGCAGTACTTGACCTGACCAACGCTGGACCACCCCCCGACCGTGATGCGGACCTCGGGGACGCCAATGCGCAGGACCAGCGCGTCCCCAAGGTGCAGCGTCACTTGCGGCCCAGGACCTCGTCAATCAACGCGGGGGAGAAGGGGATGTGACCGTCGTACAAGACTTCCGTCGCCCACTTCGGCACGAAGACTCGACTATCAGTACGGAATGCGTGCCCAACAAGAGCGTCGGAGCTGAGGGGGACGGGGGTTCTGCAATGGGGGCAGGGGGAACAAGGGGGAGCTGGGGGAGGGCAGATGGGGGAGTGGGTGGGGGGGGGCCCTGCGAGCGTCGCTGGCCCAGCCTGTCCCTGAGAGGCCTCCTGCTCGGCACCTCCTGCTCGGCGCTGGCCCGATGGGAGCAGAGGCCGGCCCTGCTCGCGCGCGCGCGCGCGCCGTGGCGGGCGCGGCAGGCACGCGAGATGGCCCCCAGCTCTTCACAGTCACGAGGGGGCGTTTTGGGCCATCGTCGGCGGCCACGGGGGGGCCTCAGGGGGCCTCGGGGCCGTCAGCGGGCGAGTCGGGGCGAACCGCCAATCCTGGGAAAGGGGTCGTGGCCTCGGGGGGTCGGCGTCGTGGAAACATGTAGACGTCGGGGGTCTGATGAGGTGCCCTTGCGCTCTTCGTGCTCTGGCTCCCCGCCTTGGAGTGCACTTCGTTGGGGCCACCTTCACGGGGCCTTAGACCGGGGGCGAAGGGGCTCGCGTTCTCGGTCTGCGGTCCTGTTGCCGTGCTTCGACTGTGCCTCGAGGCTGATCGGGGTCGTCGAAGAGTGGGTGAGGACGGACTGGGGGCGTGTGGATGCCGCGGGCAAGGCTATGATATCTTTCAGCTTTCATGGACCCTTCTTGGCATCGCTCGGACGTGCGCATGTTTTCTCGGCGAGAACCATCGAGGACCATCCTGGACCATCGCGCAAAGAAAAACGCGCACGAAACCGAACAATGCACGGGAAATGGACGCCCGGTCGACGGCAAGCTTTGCTTCTCCCTCAAAATAGCGGTTCGCCCGAGGGCTCTCACAGAGGCCAGGCAGGAGCACAAGAGGAGGCCTACCGGGGGGGGTGGGGCGGGGAGCCCCAGACCGCCCAGTCCGGCAGCCGCTTCGCCCGAGGCTCCAGCAAAAGAAACATACAACAAAAAGAAAGATGAGGAAAAGCAAGGAAAAACAAGGAAACGAGGGAAAACAATAAACACAAGGAAAAACTAGGAAACACAAGGAAAAACACGGAACACCAAGGAAAAACAAGGAGCATCCAGGAAAAACAATAAACAAAACAAGACAAAAGGAAGACCAAGGAAAAACAGTGCACAAAACAACAAAGCACGTTTCGCCCGAGACGTCCTCACATTTTCTTCAGGCATCGCGCTCTCGCCGGGATTCCTGCTGCACTTGTTAGTCCAGACGGCCACGATCCCTGGTGAGCAACATGCACGGCAGTACTCTCATACCTGTCCCGCCGGTCAGCGTTCCACGGGAACTTTAGGAATACCTGCGAATGCACGTTTTCATTCGCCGACCTGCTGCCTTTGTGCTGCAATTCGGGTCCTCTGATGGGATAACCGCAACAGGTCTCCTGGCCCTCCCACCGTCCGTGCGCGTGGCTCGGGCCGTGATGCGCTACCCTCTTCTCTTCCTGGCCGCTCTGCTCGGCGCATCTGGGTCGATGGGGGCGGGTCCCCCCGGCGCCGCGGGGCCTCCCGGCCAGGCCCCCGCCCTTCTGCCAGACAGAAGGCGACAGCGAAGACATGCGGGACGAAGCGGGCATGCCCCGCACCGAGCCAGCACGCATGCGATTCGAAACACATTTGGTCGATCCGATTCCATGCCGAGTTTGCCCAGCTCGATTCGCTTCGATTTCGATATCCTGGCGATCCGATGCGGTCCGATGCTTGCACGGTGCAGGGGTACATCACGGCGCAGCCGATCCGATCCGACGCACATTCCGATTCGAGCCCAGTCCCCGATTCGATGCTGACAGATCCTGAAATAGGTTCGCGTGAGCGGAACCCCGTCGCCTCAGCAAGTGGCGGGGTGGGCCCCTGATGATCTTGGCGCCATTCCTCTGCCTCGTCTCCTTGGACGTGCGGGTTTCGAGAGCACTTCCGTGGCGGCCGCCGCGGCCGCGGCGTTTCCGCGTCCCGCGAAGGCCGGCGACGCGGCCCTGGTTGCCGATGTCTGGGTGCCCGAGTGGGAGCTAGCACCCTCTCCTCTCGCCCTCTCCTCCCCGCACTCCTTCTCTCCTCCTCCTCCTCCTCTTCTCTGATTTGCTTCTCCCTACCTGCGTCTCCCTTCCTGGAGGAGGAGGAGGAGGAGGAGAAGGAGGAGGAGGAGGAAGAGGAGGAGGATCGGCTCCGCCCTGCCCCCGCGGGCCGCCCGGCGGTCGAGGCGCGCGGTGGCCAGGCCTCGGTTTGCCCCTCGCCCGAGGGAGCCTGGCGCGCCGCTGCTCCCGGGCGAGCCGCGGGGTCGCGCTCTCGCGCCCGGCTGCGGGCCCCCCCGGGGCCCCGACAGGTCGAGCCGGCTCGGGAATCGACTAGTCGTAAGAGTGACCTTTCGCGGGAGTGACCTCTGGTGCGGGCACGGATGAGTCCCCAGAGATGCTTGAAAACAGAGCAGTAGCAGCTGGTTGCGCGCCCAGATTTGGCCCCCCGCGGCCCCCAAAAAGCCGGGCACCAAAGGTCACTCTTACCCAGGGTCACTCTTGCGTGTAGCCGAGAGAAGGGGCACAGGGAGAGGGGGTCTGGGGCTAAGTCGGGCTTGTCCCTCTACCGGAGGAGTCTTCAAAGATAGTGGAAAAACAGTCAGGGGACCATTTCGTACCATTTTTTGACATTTTGGGGGCACTTTTTGGCATTTTTACCTAACAGCTTTCGCTGATAGGTTTTTAGTGGTCTCAAAAGAGAGCATGTTGACGCCCCAGGGGGGGTCTGGGCGGGAACCGGACAGAGGATCCGGCAGATCGGGCAGCCCCAGGAATCCTTAGGAATCTTTAGGAATTCTGAGGAATCCTTAGGAATCCATTCCCAGAACACCATTCCCAGGACACATTTTGAATGCTCGGAGCCAACTGTAGGCCACTTCGTGTTCTTCGTCTTCCAAGAACACCATTCCCAGGTCACATTTTGAATGTTCGGAACCAACTGTAGGCCTCTTCGTGTTCTTCGTCTTCCCAGAACACCATTCCCAGGCCACATTTTGAATGCCCGGAGCCAACTGTAGGCCACTTCGTGCTGTTCGTCTTCCCAGAACACCATTCCCAGGCCACATTTTGAATGCCCTGAGCCAACTGTAGTCCACTTCGTCTTCTTCGTTTTCCCAGAACATTATTCCCAGGCCACATTTTGAATGCCCGGAGCAAGCTGTAGGCCACTTCGTATTCTTCGTGTTCCCAGAACATCATTCCTGTACTATATTTTGATTGCCTGGAGCCAACTGTGGGCCACTTCGTGATCTTCGTGTTCCCACAACACAAGTCCTGTGCCATATTTTGAATGTCCGAGCCAAGGCAGGCTGAGGCCGAGGCTGGCTGTGGCCGAGGCAGGCTGAGGCTGAGGCTGAGGCACGCCGAGGCAGGCTGAGGCTGAGGCTGAGGCTGAGGCAGGCTGAGGCTGAGGCAGGCTGAGGCTGAGGCTGACGCAGGCTGAGGCCGAGGCAGGCTGAAGTTGAGGCTGAGGCAGGCTGAGGCTGAGGCAGGCTGAGACTGAGGCTGAGGCATGCTGACGCTGAGGCTGAGGCTGATGCAGGCTGAGGCTGAGAGGCTGGCGCTGAGGCTGAGGCAGGCTGAGGCTGAGGCTGAGGCCGAAAAATATACAAAAAAAATGCAGGCTTGAGGCCTGGGCTGAGGCTGGAGGCCGAGGCAGGCTGAGGCTGAGGCTGAGGCCTGAAGCTGAGGGCGGGCTGAGCTGAGGCTGTGTCTGAGGCTGAGCTGATGCAGGCTGAGCAGGCTGTAGGCGGAGGCCCGATGCAGTCCTGAGGCTGAGGCAGTGCTGGGCTGAGGCTGAGGCGGCTGAGGGGCTGGAGGAGCTGAGGCTGAGGCTGAGGCTGAGGCGGGCTGAGGCTGAGGCCGACGGCATACTGAGGCTGAGGCTGAGGCTGAGGCGGGCTGAGGCTGAGGCAGGCTGAGGCTGAGGCCGAGGCTGAAGGCAGATTGAGGCTGAGGCTGAAGAAGGCTGAGGCTGAGGCAGAGGCAGGCTGAGGCTGAGGCTGAGGCAGGCTGAGGCTGAGGCGGAGGCTGAGGCAGGCTGATGCTGAGGCAGGCTGAGGCTGAGGCTGAGGCTGATGCAGGCTGAGGCTGAGGCCGAGGACCTGAGGCAAGCAGAGGCAGGCTGAGGCTGATGCTGAGCTGAGCAGGCTGATGCTGAGCGGGAGCAGTGGTAGATAGCTGAGGCAACGCTGCGGTTTCTGAAGCGGCTGAGGCTGAGGCTGAAGCAGGCTGAGGCTGAGGCTGAGGCAGGCTAAGGCTGAGGCAGGCTGAGGCTGAGGCCGAGGCTGAAGGCAGACTGAGGCTGAGGCTGAAGCAGGCTGAGGCTGAGGCTGAGGCAGGCTGAGGCTGAGGCTGAGGCAGGCTGATGCTGAGGCAGGCTGAGGCTGAGGCTGAGGCTAATGCAGGCTGAGGCTGAGGCAGCCTGAGGCTGACGCCGAGGCTGAAGGCAGACTGAGGCTGAGGCTGAAGCAGGCTGAGGCTGAGGCTGAGGCATGCTGAGGCTGAGGCAGGCTGAGGCTGAGGCTGAGGCAGGCTGAGGCTGAGGCTGAAGCAGGCTGATGCTGAGGCAGGCTGAGGCTGAGGCTGAGGCTGATGCAGGCTGAGGCTGAGGCAGGCTGATGCTGAGGCCGAGGCTGAAGGCAGACTGAGGCTGAGGCTGAAGCAGGCTGAGGCTGAGGCTGAGGCAGGCTGAGGCTGAGGCAGGCTGAGGCTGAGGCTGAGGCTCATGCAGGCTGAGGCTGAGGCAGCCTGAGGCTGAGGCCGAGGCTGAAGGCAGACTGAGGCTGAGGCTGAGGCAGGCTGAGGCTGAGGCTGAGGCAGGATGAGGCTGAGGCTGAGGCAGGCTGATGCTGAGGCAGGCTGAGGCTGAGGCTGAGGCTGATGCAGGCTGAGGCTGAGGCAGGCTGAGGCTGAGGCCGAGGCTGAAGGCAGACTGAGGCTGAGGCTGAAGCAGGCTGAGGCTGAGGCTGAGGCAGGCTGAGGCTGAGGCTGAGGCAGGCTGAGGCTGAGGCAGGCTGAGGCTGAGTCTGAGGCTGATGCAGGCTGAGGCTGAGGCACGCTGAGGATGAGGCCTGAGGCTGAGGCAGGCTGCGGCTGAGGCTGAGGCTGATGCAGGCTGATGCAGGCTGAGGCTGAGGCTGAGGCAGGCTGAGGCTGAGGCTGAGGCCGAGACAGGCTGAGGCTGAGGCTGAGGCAAGCCGAGGCAGGCTGAGGCTGAGGCTGAGGCTGAGGCAGGCTGAGGCTGAGGTTGGGGTTGTGGCTGAGGCTGAGGCAAGCTGCGGTTGAGGCAGGCTGAGGCTGAGGCTGATGCAGGCTGAGGCTGAGGCAGGCTGAGGCTGAGGCAGGCTGAGGCTGAGACTGAGGCCGAGGCAGGCTGAGGCTGAGGCCGAGGCAAGCCGAGGCAGGCTGAGGCTGAGGCTGAGGCTGATGCTGAGGCAGGCTGAGGCTGAGACAGGCTGAGGCTGAGGCTGAGGCAGGCTGAGGCTGAGGCAGGCTGAGGCTGAGGCCGAGGCAGGCGAATCCTTCGGAATCCTTAGGATTCCCTAGCAATCCTTAGGGATCCCTAGGAATCCCTAGGAATCAGGATTCCGAAGGATTCCTAAGGATTCCTAAGGTTTCCTACGGATTCTTATGTATTCCTAAGGATGCCTAAGGATGCCTCAGGAATCCCTAGGAATCCTTAGGATTCCATTGGATCCTAAGGCCGTTGCCACTGCGACTGTCATTGCGAATGCGACTGCGACTGCGAGAACAGCAGAATTCTACAACTGGATTCTCACCTGAATCTTAAGGGGAATGCTTCCAGATATGCTTGTACACATCGCTGTTAGGTTGCTTCGCCAGGATTTTTTGTTTTTCGTCCAAAGTCCTCCTCCAGGGGGACAGGCCCGACCCAAGTCTGGGGCTCGGGTCGTGCCTCTTCGCGAGGTTGCAGCTCCTCGCGGCGCCGGGCAGCAGAGTCGGCCCGGGTGCCCGCGCCAACCTGCTCGTCTGCCCTTGCCGTCCTGTCCGCGCTGGCACCGCGCAGAGGACAGGCTTTTTTTATTCGCGGGTCGAGAGCGCACCTCTTCCGGTCGAAGCGAAGCGGGCCGCGCGAAGCTCGAATTAACAGAGAGGGGGGGACAGAAGGAGCGCGGCCTCACGGCGAGGCCAGGAGGAGACAGAGCCTCGGGGACCGCGAAGAGGACGGGCCCTGGGGGAGGCGGGTCCGGGCACTTTCTTTGCCGTCGTTGCGGGGCCCTCGGGGCGCCCTCGCAGGGCGCAGGGCCGTCAGAAGACAGTCAGAGGAGTAGCTTTAAGTCGGGCGTGTCCTTCTACAGGGGGATTTTCGACGAAAAATAATTAATACCCAACAAATGCCCCCAAATGGTCAAAAAATACACCAAAAATAGTCCCCAGACCATTTCTGGATTATTATTGGATTATTTTTGGGGTATTTTTTAATTTTTCGTCGAAAATCCCCCTGTAGGGGGACAGGCCCGACTTAAGAGTAGCTGGTCTCATGAAGAACCCTGGGGTTCCAGGGCCCGTTTCCACCAGGATTTTTTCCTTCGTGCCAAGCTGGCCCCTTACGAGCTACGCGGTGAAGTGAGGGCGTCCCGTGTCCCAGGGGGCCGCTTCCCAGGGTGCAGCGCGACTCTTCGCTGATCCAAGAGGGGACAAGCAGGGAACACCACGCCCACCAGCTCCTCTCTTCGTCATTTGCTCTGCACCGCTCTCTCCGTCTTTCTCTCTTCCTGTGGACTGCGCGGGCCAATGTGGGCGTCTCGCGTCTGGGACAGTCATCGCCAGAGGGTGCATTACGACTCCGCGCAGACCAGAAGTCGAGGGCAACTGGAGTCCCGTAGCCTTGGCCCAAACTGCCTAATTATTCCCAGGCGGGGGCAGTCTAGGTCGGATTGCGGGGCCCTCGCGCGGAGCGCTGGGTCCTGGCGGCGGTGGCGGCCTCATGAGCAGTGCCCTCTTCATGCTGACCTTGGCTGTGAGTGTCGAGACAGCGCGGGGCCTGGGGGCTGGGTACGTCGTCGCCGAGGAGAACTGGTACTCCTGCTCGAAGTATGGCGCCGTCCAGATCGGCACCTCGATCGGCTGCCAGGAAGCAGCGGAGATGCTCGGCATGGTGATGGGCCCCACAGACTACCAAGCCGATCAGCCGCAGGGCTGCTATACGATTGGGGACCAGCCTGGCGCTGGCGCGGAAGTCTGGTTCAACACCCACCCTGTGGGCCAAATGACGTCGGGCAGCAGGGCCATTTGCGAGCTCGAGTGCGCCGCAGGCTACTACGGCCTTGACGCGGGCATTCCTAGCTCGTCCTATTCCGAGTCGACGGGGGGCTGCGTGCAATGCAACGGCGGCGAGACTAGGAGACGGCGCTCGGTGTCGTGCCAGGGATGCCCTGTCGGGTACACCGACGCTGGCGACGCCGATGCGTGCGTCCTCGAAGGTACTGCCACGCCGTCCCCTCCGACGCCATCACCCACACCTGTGCCCACCATTCCGCCCACGGTCTGCGTCGACTCGCCTGCCGGCTGGGCAGACAGCTCTGGGCAGGGCTGCCAGGTGTACCAGACGTCCTCGTGGTGCACGGCCTCTGGCGACTACGGACCGTCGTGGGAACCGCAGTGGGGGCCGTTCGACCTTTACGCGACTGGAGGTGTGTCTGCGGATGCGGCCTGTTGCACGTGCGGCGGCGGCGACGCGCAGACATCGTCGCCCTCGCCCTCGCCGACGCCCGCGCCGACGCCCATGCCGCCTGGGGCCACGGCAGCGCCGACGCCCGCGCCGACGCCCTCGCCGACAACGGCGCCGACGCCTGGGCCTACGCCCTCGCCGACGCCCGCGCCGACGCCCCTGCCGCCCGGTGCCACGGCGGCTCCGACGCTGGCGCCCACGCCCTCGCCGTCAGCGCCGCCGACGCCCGGCCCTACGCTCGTGCCAACAGCGGCGCCGACGCCCCTGCCGCCCGGGGCCACGGCGGCGCCATCGCCGGCGCCTACGCCCTCGCCGACAGCGGCGCTGACGCCCTGGTCTCCTGGGGCCACACCGGTTCCGACGCCAGCGCCGACGCCCCCGCCGACGGCACCCGTGCCATTGGAGGTTACGGCGACGCCAGCGCCCACGGGTCTGCCGCCAGAAGAGCTAGGCCCCGCTGCTGGGGGCCTGGCGCTGTGTCCGCTCGGTGAAGACGCCCAGATCGGCTGTGGCGAGCAGCTGGGCGCACTGGCCGCTGCCTGCACGCTGCTCCTGTGCTGCCTCTGCTGCGCTGCTGGCGCGGCGCTGCGCTTGTGTGGCCGAGGCGGCTGGCTGCCCCCAGATACTAACGACAAGCACCGGACTGGCTGGCGCAAGTGGTGCCGCTGCCCGTACCGGGCTCTGAAGGTGCTGTTCCCACCGCGGGACCAAGGCAGCGTGCGCCTGCAGGGCTTGCGCACCAGGTACCGCGTGGAAAGGAGGACGCCGGCGAACGCCAGCGGGGAGACGCCCCAGAAGGTCCGCATCGTGTGGGATGCCGCGGAGCAGCATCTCGAAAGGCTTGCGGCGCAAAGGGTCGCTGAGGACGCCGAGGAGGGCCATCACTCCCCGAAGGTGTCGGACGCCAGCTGGATCGCAAGCCCGCCAACGTTGCTGAGTTGCACCTCTTCGCGGCGCAGGCCTCAGAGCGACGCCGTGGAGGGCAAGGGAGTGGCTGCGAAGGCTCCCGTGCGCACAGCCTACCGTGACGGGGCCACCGTGGAATATTTCTCCATGCGGAACCAGCAGTGGGTCGTAGGCAGAGTGCACGTGGCGCCGTGCGGGGACGGCGTGAGGTACGACGTGCACTTGCCACGCAGCGGACAGCGCCGCCTCGGCGTGGCCCTCGACCTGCTGCGGCTGCCACTGCGCGCAGGGGAAGCCGTGGAGTGTGGCCCGCTGACGCCCATGGTCAACGGCCTGATCGCAATCGGAGAGGAGCCAGAGTGGCAGAGGGGGGCGGTCACGAAGCCCGAGGTCTCGCGCGCCGCCGTGACCGATTACGTGGTGCTGCTCGAGGGCGGGCGTGGCTCCGCGACCGCACCGTCCCACCAGGTGCGTCGCTACTTCCGGCCGGGCTCGAGAGTGGAGATCTACCGCGGCACAGAGCAGGGCTGGCTGAGCGGAGAGGTCGCGCACGGGGTCGGCTTCCAGGACTGGGGGCCCACAGAAAAACACCACCACCGCGGGCTTTTTTCCCAACCTCCTGTGTTGCGTTCTCGTACTGAATGAAGCACTGCTCGCGCGTCTCCGTCCTACTCCTCCTCCCCCCTCCTGCCTCCTGCCTCCGGTGCGCTCCCTCGGAGGCTGCGAAGTGCGCAGCTGTCGCCACTTTCATGGGCTCCCTGGAGGCATGGCGGAGTGGGGGGCCACGCAGACCCAGTTGAGACCTCGCGGCTCCCTGGTGGCTGCGAGTTGCGAATCCGTCGCCACTTTCGTGGATTCCTGGGAGGCACGGCGGAGGTGAGGGCAGCGCAGATAAATTTGAGGCCGCGCGGCCCCCACGGGGGCTGCGAGTTGCGCAAGCTGTCGCCACTTTCGTGGGCTCTTGGGAGGCACGGCGGAGGGGAGGACCGCAGATCGTGCATAACTGGCGAGGTGTTCTTTTGTAGGAGGCGTTCAACAAATATTCGCCTCGTTTGGCATTTTCTGCCATGGAGGCTGATTGGATTATTGTTTCGGCGGTGGGTCGCAAGGTGTGTCATATCACGCGATGATAGCATGTCGACTGCACAGGGTCATTAGGGCTTTCGCTTCTATGCGCTCCCACCCTTGGGTGAGAGTGCTGGTAGCAACTATTCTCGACCAACTGCGGCTGCCATCTGCGCGCGTAACCATGTGACATGTTTAGTTGTTTGGCGGCTCCTGTTGGGGCGGTCGCGCGCGTGATTTTTTACTTCTCTCTTGCCGCCTAGTGGTGTATATTTGCGGGCCCCGCGCAGGAATACAGGAGGGCTGAGGCGGCGGCGGCCGTCGCCCGTGCAGACACGGAGGCGCCGGTGACTGCTGTTGCCAGCTCGCCCTCCCGGCGCGCCCTGTCACAGCCCGGCTCGCCTACGACTCCAGCGCGGCCGCAGCCGTCGGCGGACGTGGACGCGCGCGCCACGGACGGCAGCGGGGCGGCCTGGCCCGCTCCCGACCCCGTGGGCCAGCGCTTCTCGCAGGGAGCCGCGGCGCGACTGCAGCTGCCCGCGCAGGTGGGCAGGCGCGCCACTACTGGCAGCGGGGAAGCGCGGCACGCGTCGGACCTCGTGGGCCAGCGCTTGTCGCACGGAGCTGCGGCCCTCGACGCGGTGCGGAGCGTGCCCTCCAACGCGTCCGTCTTCGACGCTTCCGCCGAGGCCCCGCCCTGGGCGCTGCTGCCGATCTGTGTCGCGGACCTGGACGGTGGAGGAGGCGGCGGCGGCGGCGTCGAGTGGTTCCCCGCTTTCCTCGTGCGGATGGCGCAGCAGTAGTTGCACACGTGCACATGCTCTTCATGTCAACGCGCCTGGGCGGGTGATTGTGGCCGAGGCGAGCACCCTGCTGGTCCACCTTGTTTTTATTCCGCCAGTCAGGCCCTCTCGGCCCATCGATGCTGGCCTCGCCTGTGTACGTAGAACATCTCCGACGTAGAGGTTCTCTGGGATTCGCCTTCAGTGCTGAGAGCCACCAGCGCCGGCGCCGTGCGATGCAGGCAACAGGTTGAGGCTGCTGCTCGCGTCCCCTACCTGGCTATGTACTGTGTACCCAGCTCAGACCCCTTTGAGTCAGTCTAGGTATGCCTTGTTTGACGGGCCACAAGATGCTTGCTTCTAGGCAATGCTGTCAGGGCGGGGACAGCCGATGGCCACAAAGTGCCCCGAACATGTGTGAGTGTATGCGTGTGCCAATCTCACGCTCGACCACTGTCGCTCGTTGTCATCTGAAGGTCTCGAGGATCCAGAGCTGGGCCTGAGATGCGTGGATGTGGCTTGTTCGGGCAAGCGGCTGGTGGCTCGGGGGCGTGGCAAACATATGCAGGCCGTGCAGCTGCGGACAGACGGGGACGGGCGCCCTGCCTTGCCAGTGGTCAGAGCGAGCAGTGATCCCACAAGGACGAGAGAGCGAGAGAGAGAGAGAGAGAGAGAAAAAGAGAGAGAGCGAGAGATAGACACCGCTAGCGCACCGCATCGTGTGGAACATCTGCTGCCAACGATCGTGCACGTCCGCGGGCAGTCGAGATGCCAAGTCAAGGACCCTGTTGAGTCCAGGAGGGTCTCAGGTTTGTTTGGCCGTTCCTCAGATCCAAGTCGGGGAATCCCGTTGGTGCCCAAGGCTCGCAGTGGCCAGGAAAGCCTCTTCGGTCCCTGCTTGGCGCTCCTCAGGGCAGCACGATGGCTGTGCGTGCGCATGCGGCTCGGGAGGGTAACGAGCCACCGAACAGAATCGCCGCGGGGCGCAACCTTTTTCAAGTCATGTGGGGCGGGCGGTGGGCGAGGAGAGCGCGGACACAAAGTCCTCGTTCGGAAGGGGGGAGCTCGTGAGCCTGGCAGCCAGAGGTGTCGTGCCATGCGGTGCCGCGCTGCCGTGGTGACGTGCCGTGGGGCCACAAGGGTCAGGAGAGGAAGAAACACACAGACACAATTCATCGTCGGTTCCCCAGAAAGTATGGGAAAATACGGGAAGTGGGGGGGAAGACGAAAACCCCCAAAAATATGGGAAAATAGGGGGAGCATTTTTATCTGTGTGTATTTATCTGTGTGTCCTGGGGCCCCTTCAAACGGGGGCCACCTCGTGCTCCGGAGGCGTCGTGCTGCTGGAGCCGCAGGGTGCCGCTGCCAGCCCGGACCCGCCGTGCTCCCGGGCGGGGGCCCACCCCGGCGCCCACTCGGCGCTGTGCCCCGCCGCCTCCGCCCCTTTGGGGCCCCGCCGTGCGCTCGTCCTGCCCCTCCGCTGGGGCTCCGCGGCCTCCCGCGCCGCGCGCGCGCGCGCCCTCCGCGCGCGCCCTCCGCGGGGGCCCGGGCGCCGCACCGCCGGCAGGCGAGCGGCGGCGGCGGAGACGCCTGCTGCACCTGGCGCCTCGCCGCGGGAGGGCGGGGGGAGGGCCTGCGTGGAGGCCAGGCGCGGCCCGGCCAGCTCCCTCCTCCTCCTCCTCCTCCTCCTCCTCCTCCTCCTCCTCCTCCTCCTCCTCCTCCTCCTCCTCCTCCTCCTCCTCCTCCTCCTCCTCCTCCTCCTCCCCCCCCCTGGCAGGCCGGCCCCCGCCGCGACGGCCCCCCCCCTTCGCCTCGCCCCGGGGCGCGGCCAGGCGACGGCGGGGGAGCCTCGCGGGGCGACGGGGGGGGGGGTCGTCACGGAGGTGGCTCGTCGCAGGAGGGGTCGGGGAGGCCGCGCCCGAGCCTGGTTGGCGGGAGCAGCCAGGGGGAGGTCTTCTCTCCAGGCCACCCAGACATGAGGCCAGAGCAGGCGGGGCCTGAGGTTCGACGCGTCGCCGACGCATCGGCGATGCGGCGGGATCTGGGGCCCGTTCTTATCCATGCCGCTGTCGTCGATGCATCGCCGATGCATCGGGGATGCGGGGCGATCCTTCAACCCCATCTGCTCGGCCCCATTTGGGAGGACACCATCCCTAGCCTGGGGCTCAGCTTGCCCTGCTGGTTTCAGGAGGCGGCGGGGCGTGTTCTGGTATGGGGTATGGGCGCTGGCAGAAATCGCGGCCGGGCTGACGTCGCAGTCTTCGGGTGGAAGTGAGCGCGCCAAGAGGCGTCCCCCCCCGCCCCCCCCGCGGTGCAGCCGTGCTTATCGAGGCCAGGGCTGACGTCGCAGTCTTCGGGTGGAAGTGAGCGCGCCAAGAGGCGTCCCCCCCCGCCCCCCCCGCGGTGCAGCCGTGCTTATCGAGGCTAGGGCGTTGCCCAGTGGTAGAGAAGTGTGGAGAGACGAGACCTACGACTCAGTGATGATGATGCTGATGATGATGATGCTGATGATGATGATGATGATGATGATGATGATGATGATGATGATGATGACGATGACGATGATGATGATGACGATGATGTTGATGATGATGATGAGGAGGAGGATGAGGATGATGAGGAGGAGGATGGGGATGAGGATGAGGATGAGGAGGATGAAGATGAGGAGGATGAGGATGAGGATGAGGATGAAGACGAGGATGATGCTGCTGCTGATGATGAGGATAATGATGATGCTGATGCCGATGGTGGTGATGCTGATGATGCTGCTGCTGGTGATGTCAGATGATGGTCAGGATGAGTATGATGCTGTTGCTGCTGCTGATGATGCTGCTGCTGATGATGGTGGTGGTGATGGTTGCGGTGGTGGGTGGTGGTGGTGATCGTGATACTGATGATGATGATGCTGCTGCTGATGATGATGCTGATGATGGTGGTGATGATGATGCTGATGCTGATGCTGCTGCTGCTGATGATGATGATGATGATGATGATGATGATGCTGATGCTGATGCTGATGCTGATGCTGCTGCTGACGATGATGATGATGATGATGATGATGATGATGATGATGATGATGATGATGATGATGATGATGCTGATGATGATGATGATGATGATGGTGGTGCTGCTGCTGATGATGATGATGAGGAGGACGAGGATGAGGAAGAGGATGAGGATGATGACTATGCTGATGATGATGATGCTGCTCATGATGATGATGCTGTTGCTGTTGCTGCTGTTGTTGTGGTTGTCGTGCTGGTTGCTGTAGAAGTCCATTCTCCAATATTAATTGCTGTTGATTCCGCCTCTGGTGACCATTGTTTTTTCAATGAATGCGATCCTCCCGGGGCTCGCACCTGGGCTTGTACAAGGGAAAACTGGGTGTCATCAAACTGTGTCGTTGGCTCCCGGTTTGCAGCAACAGCGGCTCCCATTTGATATTTCTTCACACTTTATTCCAAAACCGCGCTCTATCACGGGACTTCCTCACAACTTCTGCAGGAATCGGGCTCTCGCGTGGGATTTCCCTTTCGCAATTTATTCAGACGCCGCGCCCTCGACACTCAGGAACCACGCTCTCGCTCTGACCTTTCTCGCGATTTACTTGGGAATCGCGCTATCGCTGGAGACTTGGTGATTCATGCAGGACTCACGCTTCAAGAACCCGCCTGCTCGACCTGGCAGCCTGGGCCCGCCTTCCCGACCCGCCCGCTAGGGTCTACCCGCCCCGATCTGCCCGTCTGGTTGTGTCACGTGTTTTCTCCTCCTAGCCCCCCCTCCTGCTAATCTCTCTCGTGCTCCATCCTTCTCCCTCCCCCTGCCATCCGTCCTTTCTTCCCCTGTTTTAGGGGCTGCGCTAAACACACGTGGCATGTAAGGAAGATATACCCCCAAGGGGGTATGATCGAAAACGAAGAGGGCGGGTACAGAGGGTTTGGGATGTCCGTGTCGAATGGCACGCGAGCAGATAGGAGCGAACAGTGTTATCATGTTTACCCTGGACCCACAATTTTACATAGAGCTAGATCGTAATCAACCAGACGGGTATACTGCGCACTTCAGGGTCGCACCATCGACCCGTTTTCTTTTTTCGCGTCGATCTGCCAGGCCACGCCCCTGGGCTGGCACCGACGGCTAGTGCAGCAGCCTTACCTTCCAGCCTCAATGGTCGAAAGTGGGGCAGCTGGGGGCAGTTCGTGCCGAGCCCAGGCGGAGAGCGATGGCGTTCGAATGTCTGACGTTTTAGTGTGAGCTGGCAGAGACTCGCCACCGGGCTCTTGTCCAAGGTGTACCTTTTCCTGCACATCATCTTCGGCACCGCCTGATCCCAGGGCTTCGCCCTCCCCCGGCCGCGTGAGGCCCCGCCTTCTTTCGCCCTGTCTCTGCTAATTAAAGCTGTGCGCGTCCCGCTTAGCTTTCAGCGGAAGAGGTTCGCTCTCGCCCCGCAGATTAAAAAAGTGAGCTGGCAGAGGGGGAACGAAAGAGAGAGAGAGAGACTGAGTGATGGGTAGCGGGAGCGGGAGAGAAGTCCTCCATATTGCCGTCCTCTTGCTCGTGGAGGGAGCGCACGAAAGCTTGCATGCCCCCAACCATTTCCCGTCAGTGGCCCTTTGGCCGAGTGCTTTGGGGTCGCCCACATCGTCTCGACTCCCCATCCATCAAGGGCATAAAAAACGCCCCTACCCTGGTTTACGAGGCGCTGTGCGCTGAAACTCCTGTGGGCTGACAGGGTAAACCCTGCGTGATGTGCCGCGTCCTGGCGGCTCTAGGCTTTGGGGGTTCCCAGGAGTGTTACAGACCTCGCACTTGTAACTCAGGGTAGGGTCGTTTTTTGCATCCCTCAAATCCAGGGCTTCGGTCTACAGTTAAGACGTGTCAGGGAGCAGGAGCCGCACGCTGTTTGCAGGGCCGCACTTCGAGATGCTGGCACGACTGCAAGAGAGAGGTGTGAGTCTTTCGGTGGGTTCGCCAGGTGCGACGGCCACCACGAATGCCCGTACGGCCACAAGGTTTATGGGTTGCAGGACCGCGCTTTCTTTCCACATCCGGGTGTCGCCCATGACAGTCTGAGTCCATTGTCACTGATCTGATCTCGGTACAGTGCCGTTTTTAATACATGCTCTGCGTGCGGATCATGAATTGAAAATGCAGGGATTTAGCATTAAACAACAACGGTGAGTTCATGCATAAATTTATTCATACATTGATCAGGTGTTTAAAATCCTATATATAAAAACCATGTATTAAAAACTGCCCTGTAGTGTCTGGCAGTCTTGGCTTCCCGATCCGTCCTGCATGTCTGCTCATCGTGATCTTTGCCGCTCTGCCTGGCTTCAGTGACCGACTCGGGGTGAGAAAGGTCGACTTTCTGCATCGGCGATGCATCGCCGAAGGATCCGCGACAGGCCCCCGATAGCGAATAAGCACACTCCCCGACAGGATGGGTCATCAGGCCCCTATCGGCGATCCATGGGCGATTGGGGGTCGATGCCTTCGCCCCCGAGCCTGAAGCTCCCTGCTTGTGCCGCCTGCCGCTGCAGGTCACGCTGCCGCATGAGCACAACCTGATCGACCTCATCGCCCTCCTGTTCTCGGCGGTCCGGCGGGGGTGGTACGAGACGGGAGAAGAAGTCGGAATGGACTGTGGGGCCCTCCCCCTCTTGATCCTTCTCCTCCTCCTCCTCGTCCTCCTCCTCCTCCTCCTCCTCCTCCTCCTCCTCCAACTGTTCTCCTTCTCCTGTCTCTTAACGCTCGTCTCCTCCTCCTCCTCCTGCTGCTCCTCCTCCTCCTCCTCCTCAAGCGGTTCTGCTCCTCCTGTCCTTCAACGCTCGCCTCCTCCTCCTCCTCTTCCTCCTCCTCCTCCTCGTCCTCCTCGTCCTCCTCGTCCTCCTCGTCCTCTTCCTCAAACTGTTCTCCTCCTGTCTTTCAACGCTCGTCTCCTCCCCCTCCTCCCCCCCTCTTCCTCCCTCCTCCTCCTCCTCTCCTCCCTCCTCCTCCTCCTCCTCCTCCTCCTCCTCCTCCCCCCTCCTCCTCCTCCTCCTCCTCCTCCTCCTCCTCCCCCTCCTCCTCCTCCTCCTCCTCTTCCTCTCCTCCTCCTCCTCCTCTTCCTCCTCCTCCTCCTCCTCTCCTCCTCCCCCTCCTCCCCCTCCTCCTCCTCCTCCTCCTCCTCCTCTTCCTCCTCCTTCGTCTCCTCCTTTCCGATCCGAAGCTCCCGAGGCTCTTGGGGGGTGAGCACACGCGCTCGAAGCAGAACAGGAGCGGAGCCCTTGAAGCGGCGCGCCGACGGGGGGGACGGGCAGACGGGGCGGGCCTGCTCAGAAGGCCGAGAGGGCCTCCGCCCTCCTGTGAGAAGCTCTCGGAGCCTCTTCCGAAGCCGAGGCGGGGCCTCTCGGAAGGCCGGCGGGCTTCCGAGAGGCCCCGCCGACGTGTGCGAAGGCCTGCCCCCTCTCTCGCTGCTCTCACCGAGCGCGCTCCGCTACTCGCAGAGTGCCTGCTCGCAAGCGCCCCAATGAGCCTGCTCGCCTCGCTCCCAAGCGCCCCAAGCTCGCAGGTTGACAGTGGGGGGCTCTTCGGCCAGCAAAACGCCGAAACGAGCCGCACTTTGTTGTCTAGGTGCTTGCACTGGGAACTGCACGGGGGATAGCGTCAGGGGGAGTGCGCAGGGGGAAAAAACAAAAGAAAAGGAGCTTGCTTGCCTCGCTACCACTGAGCAGCCCCTTTGTGTCGATGTAGCGGGTCCAGGTCCTTTGCGAGCGGCTGCTCTGCGAGTCGCGGAACGCGCCGGCCTGTTCTCAGAGGGCCGGAGGGCTTCCGAGAGGCCCCGCCGCCTCGTGAGAAGGCCTGCCCCCTCTTGCTTCCCCCCTCGGCGTGCCGCCGAATCCCAGGTCCCCCTCTCGCGTGTGTGCTCCAGGGTGCCTTTCTCGACAGGGGATGCGCCAGGCAGGCTTGCCCCCTCTCACTTCCCCCCTCGGCGTGCCGCAGAATTTCCAGGCCCCCCCCCGCGTGGATGCTCTGGACTCCCGTCTCAACAGAGGGCGAGGGAGCTAACCTCGCCGCTCGTGGGCGCAGGCATTCGGGAGGGCGAGATGCGAGACGCTCTTCCCCGGTGTTGGCATCATTGTGGTCGTCGTCTCTGCATTGCTGGAAGGCGGCGCAAGGCAGGCTCAAGAGGAAGAGCTACACGGGAATCGAACACGCGGCTCGTTCAGCGAATCATAGCATCAGTTTGAAGCAAGTTGAGATTGGAGACTACATGCCAGGAAACAGCGCGAGCATCTCCAATCCATTTTTTGAGAGCGCGTGTATACGCCAATGTGTGCATCAAGCGAATGCTGGAGGCGACCCACTGGGAATATCATACTTACAGAAACACGTTTGACGGGAGGGGGTAAACCAACACATATATTTGTGTGAACATTGAGAATCAGGCAACGCTTCAGACAAGCTCAAAGATGACACAACTGTTTTACCAGCGCGATCACCCCGCCAGCAGCGGCTATAAGCGACTTGCCGATGTTTGCTGCACAGTCGCAGTGCAGTGATCGCGAGCAGCCGTCGCGGAAGTGTCGGGGGCAAGATCGATGCCGCCAACGTTGGCGCTGTACTTGCTGCCTGAGTCTGCGGTCTGAACAACGTTTCTCTGCGGACAGGTCGAGCGGCACGTCCGTGCTTCCACTGCCAGCTCTCGCAGGTTACCCTGGCGACCGCACAGCGCAGATGATGTCGTTCCCAGCTCGCGGCCACTTGGGGTGATGTGGCGCGTTGCAGACAGGGTCTGCTTCCTCTGCGGGAGGTGGCGGTAGATGGCGGCAGTCCAACGGCGGCGGGTCAGAAGTGAACGTTGCACCACCAAGAGATGCCAACTTGTCCCTAAACAGCTTGTCTGTAAGGATCCTATACGCTTTGTCTGCGAAGCCGGGTGCGGGGATCGCCGGATCTGGAATCGGTCCGTGGTCTCCCGTCGCCTCCCGTGGTCTTCCGCGGCATTGCTATTCGTAGCATTGGTTGAAAACCTATTTTTAGTATTTGATTCTATTTATCAGACCCGATGTCTTGTGTCTTATGCCGTACTGGGCCAGACCTTCATTCCACTTGTCCCCATACGCTGCGATACAGGAAGCATTACACGATTCCATACCATACACGGACGCATGATGGTACTCCCTCCCATCCCTCCCTTCCTTCCCTCCCTCCCTCCCTTCCTCCCTCCCTCCCTCCCTCCCCCTCCTCCTCCTCTTCCTTCTCCTCCTCCTCCTCCTCCTCCTCCTCCTCCTCCTGCTCCTCCTCCTCGCGATGGGGTCGGGCCCCCCTCTCGGGGGCTCTGGGGCTCCTGTGCAGGGGCTCCAGCGGATCGGCGGAGCGGTGCGGTGACAACCACGTCTGGTGAGCCGGTCGGGATGTTGGGCGGCCGCACGGCTTCGGGACTCGGGTCGTCCTCGCAGGGTGGCTCCGGCGACTGAGGCCTCCAGGGCCCCAAACCGGTGCGGTGACGCACCGTGAAGTGAGGTCTCTTGGGGATTTCGAGGTCGTCGCACGGTTCGTCACCGCACTGCTGTTCAGAGGAGGAGGAGGAGGAGGAGGAGGAGGAGGAGGAGGAGGAGGAGGAAGCCACGGGCTGAGGAGGGGCCCGCCGCCGCGTGGGGTCGTGTCGTCCCCTCGTTCGGCCAGCCCCGTCAGCCCGGGCCAGCGCGCCGCGGCGCCATTAAAGAGTCAAAGCTGAAGAGAAGCGCCGCGGCCGCGACGCCTAGGCTAAAGAAAGACGCCCAGGCAGAAGGAAGAAAGTTGGCACAGGAGGGCCCGCATAGCGCGAGGCCACGCCAGGACACTCTTGAAGGTAGTCGAGGCCTCCCGACTACTTGCAGATCATCACTCAGCACAGCCCTTCGACAACATGGCGAAGAGTTGGAAGCAGCAGCAGCAGCGAGGCGCCTCGAGGGAAAGGTGGTCAGGAGCAGGGACCACACACCTCGAGGCGCCTCAGCGCGGCCCTGGGAAAAGGTGGACAGGAGCAGGGTCCACAGCCCAGGCGCAGCGCCAGCGCAGCGCAGACTGGACTGGCGACTACGGAGCCATTGGTGGGCGGCCTTGGGAGTGGCAGCAGCATAGTCAGCAGCAGCAGCAGCAGCCACAGACCCACAAGCGCCACCAGCAGCAGCAGCAGCAGCCACAGACCCACAAGCACCAGCAGCAAAGCGACAGCGACCAGCACTGGAAGCACAGAGCGCCCTGGAGGAGCGCCTCAGCCAGAAGGAGAAGCGGCAGGCGCAGAAGGAGGGACCAACTCGACACGCCTGCCGCAGCCCACATCGGCAGCTACCAGTACAGCCCCCAGCAGAAGGCAGTCCTGGACAGCATCACGCCAGTCTCCTTCGCCGTCGCGATGGAGCACGAGAGCTGGTCCGCGCCTCCAGATGACGAAGAGATGAGGTTCGTGTGGTACAAGACCAAGTGCCACAGGCTGGGTCGGCTCACCGAGAACATCGCAGGCGCTAGGCTGGCCGGCTTGTGCACTACCAGCCTCGAGCAGGAAGCGGCGATCACCGCCACGAACATCTCCTTCGTCCTGCCCCACAAAGAGCGCATGAAGCAGCTCAGGGCCACGCTGGAAAAGCTGGAGGAGGAGCATGCCGAGATGGAGAAGCGGCTCAGCAAGATGCTGGACCAGGAGGCGACGGCCGCCAGAACCATCAGGGTCTACAAAACCCTGATGAGGGAAACCAGAGATCAAATGGCCAAGGCGGCAGGAGTAAAGGACGAATCATCCGATGAAGACGGGAGCCATGATCACACCAGAGGACGCACGCCACACCCTGCCGCAAGGAGAAGGCGCGACCCTGCGGCAGCTCCAGCGGCACCGGCCACGGCTCAACCAGCCACAGCTCAGCCAGCCCCAGCCCAGCAGCCCCGACCAGTCCCAGCAGCATCAGACGAGATCAAAGACGCCATCAGGAGATTGACCGAGAGGCTTGATTCGCAGCAGAAAAAAGAACAGCAGCAAAGCGACCTACTAGCACAAGCAGAGTTCAAGCACAAAAGCGAACTGAAGGCCTACGAGCAGACCATCGAGCAAAAGATGTACCACACGACCGAAGCGCAGTTGGCCAAGCAGGAGAGGTGGCACACTTGGGAGGTCAACGCTCTCAAGCGGCACCACAACGCCAAGCTAGAGGAGGAGGAAGCAAAAGCATACGAAGCACAAAGAGGCACCCAGAGGACACAGGAGGAAAGGGCCAAAGGGATGCTCGCAGACCTGCAAATGCATATCGAGATGGAAAAGAAGACCTTGCGCGAGGAGATGCACAAGGAAGACCAGAGAAGAGCAGCCATCTACACGCAGCAGGTCCAGAAGGCCAGGCAGGAAGAGCAAGTTGTGAGAGAGATGGCAACCCAAGAGGCCCAGTGGTACAAGATGGCGCAGGAGCACAACGAGAAGGCGGTGCAGGAGATGGCGGAGGCGGAGTACCAGGAGAGATGCGCCCGCCACAGCGCTTATAAGGAGGAGGAGCTGCGGATCGCAGTGAACTACCAGCAGATGGCCCACGAGCATCAGGAAGAAGCCAACAAGCGCGAAGCGATGCGGGTCGTCCTGAACCTGGAG